TTCAGTGGTGGTGCCGACTGAAGCAAGGGCTAGAATGAGCGCGCGAGTTCCATCTTTCAACCTCCAGTTTGTATTTGCTGCTTGAGATTTTACTTGGAGAGAGTCTGCTTTCGACTTCACCGCTTTTTGGTGCCCACACGGCCATTGTATTTCTGGACCTTTACTGCAAGAGGACATGCAGGTTGTCCAACGTTTTGTGGTCCTCTGGAGGTCTGAACAGCCCTATAAAAAATTACTGATTGAGAAGTTGAGGCAAAACACCTCGGCTCCAAAATCTCATCTTGGGAGTGACATTTGCCTTTGCCCTTTCTTTACACGTTCACTTTGGAATCCGACCCCCACCTTGCACAGCTTTTGTATTTATTTTGTTCACACATCATGGAAAGCTGTCCGATAAGAAACAGCAGGCTCGTTTTAAAACAAACATTTTCACTGTAAGGAGATAAGATTAAAGCTGGGGACTCTTGCAAGGGCCTCATGGCTTTCTTCTTTCTTGTGGAACGATGGCAGTAAAAACTAGCATTTCTAGTTATTAACGAGAATTTGGAGAACTCTTGAGTCTTCTTTTTTTATTTTGTTCCAATCCAGCTTCAAGTTTTTCCAGAAAGAACAGATTAGCTGGAACAGAGAATACTATTTTATTTTATTTATTTATTTCATTTATACCCCGCCTATCTGGTCGTTACAATCACTCTAGGCGGCTTACAACACAAATATAAAACAGATGTATATATAATAGGGAAAAAATAGTTTACACAATTAAGAGAATTTCTACAAGAAAATGGAAAATCATATTAAAAAATGAGGGGAAAGGAATTAGGAATTAACTGGAGGGGGGAAGGCCTGCCTAAACATCCATGTTTTCAGTTGATTTTAAAAAATGCCCAGCGAGGGAGCTGAGCAAATCTCCGGAGGTAAGTTGTTCCAGAGGCGAATCAACCTAAAACTAGTGCAAAGCATGTAAAGATAAACTCTTTTAAACAAGTGAAGACAACTATTATAGCTAATTTGAGTAACAGGAAAGTGATGTTTGTTTTAAAAATGCCAATGAACTACTTTAGAGGCTTAGAACTATATGTGTTACTAATTCCTTTTTAAAAGTAACCCTTTTTTTAAAAAAAAATCCTTGATATGCCCCCACTACCTCGGCGAATTTTGAAAACAGGAACAGCTTCAAAAAGTTACTTTTTAAAATTACACTCCCTAGCAGGTGTGGCCAATTAATACTTTTTAATCTTCCTTCTCGCATTCTGTTCCCCATTCCTCAAGGGATAGATGAAAGGTTGAAGGAAGTTCAAAGAGATCTGAAAGAAGGGGGGGAAAAAACAGAAGTGTCTTCTTGAATCACCTTCCAGGACAAGCCAAACCACGACCTTCATAAGCAGCCTTACATCACAGGAGATGATATGGAAAGAGATAAGGAAGCAGAGAGGCAGGGAATCAGCCGGCTTTCACAGATGGGCAAATTGCAGAACCTGTTTCACTGGCTGTTAGATGAAAAATTTGCTCAGGCTGAGTGGTTTTGGAAACCTGTACCTTGTATCTTGTTAGCACTGGGGTTGGCAGCTAGAAGCCTGGCTGCTTGATCCGGCCTGGAAGGCCATTTTCTCTCAGTTCTACAAGGGTTTTCTTTCCGACAAAGGTGTGGCAAAAGCACAAAGTATTTTAAGTGTCGGGAATTACAGAATTACCGTTCCCCCCATATTGCGAGAAAAGCAGCCTGTAAAATAAACAAAAACACACACAGCAAGATTGCATGCACTAATTCTGCCGTGATTTATTCTCTTCCTCCTTTCCGTCCTAGATTTTATTCTTGCAGCAACCATCTGAAGCAGGGCCGGCTGAGCTAATACATTGACCCAAGCTGTAAGGCTGAGTGGGGATTCGAATCTGGGGCATGCTGGGGCTAGTCTAACACGCTGACCACTCCACTCGGCTGGCCCAAACGCGAGAGAAAGACTGGCACCGGAGGAAGAAGGAAGTTCTCCTCTCCCTGATCATACAAAGAAGCACTTCCCAACGTCAATTAAGACACCAGGCTGGTTCTTCCTCAAATGAGTCACCAGTAAATTAAAAGGGCGAAAGTCTCACACGTTGCTGAGCCAAGCAAGGTGGATCAAGCCAAACGAAGTGGCTTAAGTAATTTCTGTTATTGACGTGTCTGTGACAGAGTACCTCTCTGGCACTTAATTTAGTTTTCCCAAACATCTGATAATGGAGAGGGACATTCTGTGCTCCTGAATTCAGTGTCAGTCTGCTTTCCTCGTCTACTGCTCGGCAGTTTAAGTCTCTGGCTGAGGCGCCAGAGGTTGGGGGTTCGATTCCAAGGGTGGTTCGCTTCCCCTCGGCCCGATTTATTAACCAGACCTGTCTGAGATCTGCCCTCTCTTGCCATAGATTTTCTCTTGGAGAAGGGCGGCGGAAGTTACATTCTCAGATTTACAGACGTTATCCAGACAAGAACAAGATGCTCAGGTTAAGAAGGAGTATCTTGTATTGGTCTGGATCACATTAAACTGCCTCTCCCTTTATCGCATCCAGCGGTTCCGGACCTCGGCTCCCCAGATGTTCTTCGACGGCACCTCCCCCCAAGCCTTTCCCCACCCACCAGCTTCGCTGGACAAGGGTTCTGGGAGTTGTAGTCCAAGAACATCTGGGCTACCCAAAGTTGGGAAGCGCCACGGTCTTACACCAGCGATAAAATGATCCCATCCAGCTTTGGAAGCTAATCAGGATCAGGCTGAGCGCATCATAGGATGGGGTACCATTCCTCTCTAGGAAAGTCAGCAAAAGAATTCTGTCTGAAATTCTTCAGGGAGATGGACCAGTGATTCAGGAGAAGGCAGGGCCCTACGTATGTTCCTGTATTCGAAGTCCAAGTCCAAAATTTAAACTGCTTCACTAGGCTACCTATACTACATTGTGCAGTGGTTTAAGGATCTGGTTGGGAGTTCGATTCCTCACTGTGCCTCTTTGACAGGCGGCCGGACTTGAAAACCCATAAGATCCCTCGCAGCTTTTCAGTTCTAAGATGATGATGATACAAGCCAGTGTTGTCATGGTATCAAGGCTTGCAGGCTTCATGTGCTGGGACTTTTTTTGTAAATTAAGGGTGAAATACTGCCCTTTTCCTTATTGGGGATCCTTTTAATGCAATGTACTTGGGAGAGACCTGATCTGGTCTGGGCCATTAGGATCCAGTTGTCGGACAAAAGACCAGCACCTGGGAAAGATGGAAACGGAGGCATCTGTTTTGTGGTTAAAAACCAACAGATCAGCCTGCCTTTTGGGACTGAGGTGACGTGCAGGGCAATGGGATCTAAAACAGCAACCTGCTGCGTGTCAGAATTTTCTATTTAAAAAGGCATTTCAAGAGAGACCAGCAGGGAGACAGGGCAAACCTGTAAAAAAAATAATTGCGATTGAGGGTGCATGAATTAAAAGAGTCAAAGCGTAAGAGAGAAAATGTTGAAATGCAAGAGAAGTAACGCGGAGTGGAGAGCTGCCCGAGGGCAGCGGCCTCAGGACCTTTCAGGTCCATGGGGGGAAAAGCGTGGAGGCTTTTGAAAGGGAAGACTTCTTAGCAGCTTTGAAACGGAAGAAAAGAAGCTGTCCAGGGACTTGGAGGTGAAGAAAATGGACCGAAAAAGCATTGTGACCTTTGAGAAAGAAATGAAAAGGAGAGGGATTCTGGATTGGATTGTATTGTTATTTTTTTTTTAATTTCCCACCCACCTACCCAAATGAAATCTTGATAAATGTTAACTCTAGCACTGCCTGCCGCAGAAAGATATACCCAAACTTGGAAAGGCGTCGTGTAATATCGGGCAAATTCAGTATTGAGTCAGAAGCTTCTTTTGCGACCCATCTTATTTATTTCATTTATTTATTTAATTTATATGCCGCCCACACTACCCAAAAGTCCAGGGTTGGTAATTGCCCTGCTTAATATGACTGGGGGGGGGAGAAAGAAAGAGAGGTTCTTAGAAACAAGTACACAATTCTTTTCATGCACTTTTATTTTTAAAAATAACTCATATATTGATTGCAGAATAGCCAAAACCCACCAGCTCTTTCTGGCTGCTGATAAGACTGTTGGTGGCCGATGCCTGTGCGTGTGGCATTGGAAGGGGAAAACAGAAACATTCCCTAAGACCACCCAATATTTTTCTCTCAGCTTCACAGCCTGTCTGGTACCCCCCCCCAAAAAAAACCCCACTAACCTATTGTTCTGAAAGAAAGCTGACAAGAAAATATTGATTTATTTGAAATATGGTGCTAAAGGAGAGCTCTGCTGATACCCTGGAGTGCCGGAAAGACAGGTAAGAGAATCCTAGATCAAACCAAGGCAGAACAATCTCTGGAGGCAAAAAATGCTGAAGCTGAGGCTGCCCTACTTTGGGCGCATCCTGAGAAGGCAGGATTCTCTAGAAGAGACAATAACGCTGGGAAAGGTGGAAGGCAGCAGGAAAAGAGGAAGACCCAATAATATGAGATGGACCGATTCCCTAAAGGAAGCCACAGTCTTGAGTCTACAACAGCTCAGCAGAGCTGTGAAGGACGGGACACTTTGGGGATTCTTCATTCATGGGGTTGCCAGGAGTCGGAGGGACAGACTACATGATTTGGAAAATACAAAAAAAGGAAACTTCTTAAAACGTCGCAGCTGCCTGCCTCTCCATCCCCAGCAGTAAAAATAAAACAACCACCAGTTAATCTCTGACAACTCGCTGCCGTTCAACAACCCGCTCGTATCTACTGCCTCACTCTACCTAAGAGCAGGGCCGGCCCCGCTGGAGAGCATCCCTGGAGAGGATCCTGGTTTTGTTCAACTCTGATCAGGATTTCAAATCTCTGTTGAATCTCCGTTTCCCTCAAAGCTATCTGAAGAGCCAAGATTTCCTTGTCCAGACCCCAACGGCCTCCCTCTTCCGCCTCCGGGGAATGTTCTCCCCGCTTTTTCAGTTGCTGTCGGAATTCGGAATCCGTTGGCTTCAGAGGTGAGGCCACAAAGGGAGGCCAACTCCCACCTGGGCTGAGCTAGGATCTCCAAAGCTCCTTTCATCCGAGGTCCTCTTGGCCACCATGGAGTGCCCAGGAAACCAGGGAGAGGAAGAAGGTGGTCTTTGGCCAACCGAGAAGGCGGGAGAAGAAAACGCCGGAAGAGCGGTTGAAGTGGAAGAGGATAACAGAAGCTGCCAGGTCTGAGTAACGGGGGTCTATTTCTGCGGCTAATTACAAAAAAAAGGGAAAAGGGGAGAAAAGGACCCCCTTGTGGCTTTAAAATTTCCTAAAAAGCTACAAGGCAATGGACTGTGGTCTGAAGCCAATTCTTAGTCCCAACTATTGACATACACATTTTTCTAGGCAGCTGCAAGCGAGTCTTCAAACAGCTGGACCAAGGAAGCATCTTCTGGGGAAATCCTTGCCAAGGTCACGCCCTCCAAAGATGGTCTCGTCTGCTACGCGGAAGGACTGACGCAGGACACGTTCAAAATAGTGAGACCCGCTAGGAGCTCTAGACTTCAAATGGCAGCTAGACCAGAGCAGATATAGTTATTTTTCCACAAGTAACGAGAAACCGCTATAATTCCCAGTTCCTTCCAGTAGGCAGTTACTGCCATTACGTTTGTGGCTGTTAAAAAAAAGTAACTTTCTGTATCCCTTGCCTTTATGGATGCAACAGACTATCAGACAAACCGATGGGTTTAATTTAAATCAAGCCTGAACTTTCACTAGACGCTAAAATGAGCAAGCTTGAGTTATCATCCTTCGGACATATCCAAGGAAACATGACCCACTGGAAAAAGAAAATAGTGTTGAGGAGAGTTGGAAACAGCAGGAAAAGAGGAAATCCATACATGAGAGGGGTTGACTCCATAAAAGCCATGGCTTTGGAAATCCATACATGAGAGGGGTTGACTCCTTAAAGCAAGCCATGGCTTGGATACTTGGCAAGACTGTTAATGCTAGGATCATAACCAAAAGCTAGCTTGAGGGCGTGTGATAATAAACCCACATCCTGTTGCAGAGTTTCGAATTTCTAATAAAATTCCTTTTGTTACACAGCAAAAGTACAGAGATTTGCAGAGAATAGCTTCAAGCTCCCCAAATAGAGCAGAAGTACAGAGATTCACAGAGAATAGCTTCAAGCTCCCCAAATATCCTCTCCTGTCTCATTAACAGTCTCAGTAACTTGCTCAGAGACATTTGCAAAAGAAATGTTTAATTAATAATTGTGAACAGATCAACAGCAAGCTAACAGCATTGTTTCCAACAGACCTGTGAACAGATCAACAGCAAGCTAACAACATTGTTTCCAACAGACTAAAGAGAGGGAATGGAACACTCAGCAAAGAGGCGGGGCTCCCTTTGAATTCAGCGTTGGGAGGGAACAATTGGTTAGCGCTGGATTGATTGACTGTTACCCAGAAAGGTCCCTCCCAATCACTCAAACAACAGGCATCATGTGACGTTGCAAATAAAACTCCAACAGGCCCTTCTTCTCTTCTGCTCCCCAGTGCAAAGAATTCTTGAGACCCTATAAGAGGTGCCTGCGGAAGCTTAACCTGCCCAAAGATCTTCCCGAGGAGAAGAGGATGCATTGCACCCGAAAGAACCTCCTGATTCTCGGAGATCACATCAACGTTTTCCTTCAACATTACTGCAAGGCGTGGGAGATGAAGCGCTGGAAGAGGTAATGGGCATTGGCCAGCTGTAAAAGCAAAGCAGAGCCAGAAATGGGATGTAGGAAAATTTTGTTCTGTTTCGGTAGGAGAACAGCTGGTGTAGAAATGGGCTTTTCCAGAATCAACTAGTTGTTAGTTGCCTGCGGATGCTGGAAATGCAGATTATAGCAAATGCTGTAGTGTTCTGGATAGCACATGCCATTTTAATAGGCAATGCTAGACATAGCATGGTCTCTGGCTCCCTCTAGTGGCCAGTTCTAGTAACTTTACCTTTAGAAATATATTTTAATATTCTTAATATTTTCAGCCTGTGGATAAGTTAATCAGTGGATAAGAGGGTCCTTCTGTACTCAGGATGCAGGGGGAGTTGAAGACGGGACCATGGGATAGTAAGAAATGGATCACAGGTTACAACTCTGCATTCTGATCAGAGTCCTATAGGGTAGGTCTCAGGGCACTAATCTTTTGTTTGTTTAACCAACATTTAAAGTTTTATAATTGCAACTTGTTTCTCAAGCATCAAAAAACCCAGACAAGATCAGCTCATGTAATTTGCATGGAAGTAAATAATTACTGCATTATTTATTTTCCATTATCTTATAGATCAAGGTAGATGGTGGCTTTTGAATTTGCTAAGCTCTGCAAACAGATAACGAGATACTTCCCCCCCGCCTTCTAAATGAGTTTGCTCTCTACAACAGCACCGTGAAAGGGGGAAAGGAGAAGATTTATGGAAGGGGGGGGCTGGGCATGGCTTGCAAAATTTAGCAGATCGATACCATCTATAGTTCAATACCTTGTTAAGCAAGAAAACCATTAAGCATTGTTAACATCCATCGGATGTGACAGGTCTACCACGGCTGCCTAGAAAAATAAGTTACTCAAAAGACAATTATAGTAATTGATTCTGTCCAGTCCGTTAGGTGGAGCAGAGCCCCCAACGATTGTGTTCTAAATTAAGTCAAGTCTGAACTTACATTAGAAGCTAAAATGACCAAACTGCGCTGTCATCTAAAAGACAAGCAAAGCAGAATCCTTGAGACAATGAGAAATTGGGGGACAGCGGTGGAGGTATGGATTGCATTCTCTGGAAGGCGGGCTGCAGCGTGCATGGCGACTACAATTTTCAACTCCTCCGCTGCATTCTTCTAACCATAGTCTAGAAAAGACAATAATGTGGGGAAAAGTGGAAGGCAGCAGGAAAAGAGGAAGACCAAATACGAGATGAACTAACTCATAAAGGAAGCTCCAGAGTTGGGTTTGCAAGAGCGGAGCAGGGCAGTTGAGGACAATTTGGAGAGTGCTCATTCATGGGGTAACTTTAAGTCAAGGATAACCTGACGGCACAGGAAAGCAAACCCCCTCCTCCCCCGACTAAACCACTCTCTGGCTCCCTTTTTCCATGAAAAGAGGCAAATCTTTAGAGGGCTTGTTTTTTTTAACCTCGGCTTTAGGATGCTGTGGCGCTTCGTCTCCCTCTTCTCCGTACACGACGAAAAGCAGCTGTGGAAGCTGTACCGGTACAGCAAGAACAACCAGGTGGCTAAATTCCTGGTAAGGAGGACCCACGGGACACGCAGGGTGGGAGAGATTGGCAAGAGGTCAAGATTTTTGACAAAAAAACCCTGCTCCCAGCCAAACGATAAGGGATGATTTTGTTGGCAGGGGTCAAGTCAAACAATATTTGGGGGGGTTCCCAATGGGGCTTGGTAGGCCACGGGGCACCTCTTAACGAGCATCTACACCTTACCACAGAACGTGTGTTATGGATTTCATTCCAGAAGACCTATATCCGCTTGGAAAAGCCTGCGTCGTCGGCTCTCTCCAAGGACGGCAGCCTAAGGAAAATGTGCGAGAAGTGGGGTCTCCCCAAAGACCCGTCGGTGCCGGGGAAGCGGAGACAGGGCCATGCCTTGTATCTAAGCCGTGACCAGCCTGCAGGAGGTTTCTCGAAGAAGAAGTAAGGGGTAGCTGGGAGGGATGACCAGCAGGCCTAGTGGCACCATCAGGGCATGGCTTTGGGGCAGAGGTCCAGGGTTGTCAGATAAATCAGCAAGAGGCATTCCCTCGAATACGAGGGAGGTTGGGTGCCATAGCCCATTTTTTAAGGAGCTGAACTATTTATTTAAAAATTTGCATTCCGAGACTCATAAAAATTATTTTTTTGGGGGGGGCAAGTGACCATTCCCAAAATGGAGGATTCTGGGAACTCTAGTTCTAAATATAAACATGTCAAGCCCTGTGTGTGACCAGCTTCATGGTAGCCTTTAAGAAAGATGATGAAATCCAGATCTAATTTACTACTGATTCCTGGGGGGTTTGGGAGACAGAAGGTAGCTTAGGAGGGGAGTCCTTCAGAAAAGTCACAATCCTGACTCCCAAACCAGCGCTTGGAAAAAGTTACATTTTTGGTCTCCAGTTTCTAGAATCCACTGGTCTTGCTGGCTGGCTGGATTCCGGAAGGGGCATCTTAAATAATGTTTTTCAAGTTCAGAGGTCATATTTCTTCTGCAGAGTTTGCAAAGAGACGGCTTGACAAACAACCCTACCTGAGGTGTCTTCAGACATATTCACAGATTTCACACGGTCTTTTCAGGTTCCGAAAGGCTTCTTCAACCACTGGAAGAAGGCAGGAAGAGGCTGAGCTGATGGACCACCGACCTGCGTCTCCTGCTTTTCCAAGAAGTGAAGGAGCAGAAGTTCCTTCCGTGTCTCAAGAAGTTTCTCCAGAACCTGATCCTTGATGGAGTCTACATGACTAGGAGGAAGAAAAAAAAAAGCTTGATAGTTTTCAAAGTAGACTTTAATGGTACCTAGAGCCAAAAAGATAAAAATACACGCTTCCTTAAGTAGCATTTGTGGCATGTATAATTAAACTTGTCCTACCATACGTACAGGGCTGGGCAGATTGATGTTACGGATCTGTGGCCAAAGCTGAGTGACGTGCGGTAGATGAACAGTGATTTCGGGTGCCTTGCTTGTCAACAATAACAGCAAAATAATAATAATAATAATCCAAATCCTGCTGCTAGAATGAAGAAAGCTTGAGTTAGGCATCTGGCTGCAAGCTGGGAGCTCGGAGTCCCCACTGTGCGTCCCAGAAGAGCCAGCCTGGGTCGCCTTGGGCAAGCTGCACAGTCCCAAAGCACCCCCAGAAGAAGGGAAGGGTCAGCCATTCCTGCGTACTCTCTTCCTGTGAAAAGGGTCACCATAAGTCTTGATGGCACACAATTTTCATTATTTTTTATTATTACTGGGACGATCGAGAGAGGGTAGATTCATGCATGGAAGGAATTTGAGCTTTGTTCAGTTCTGGCACCCAGAATCTTGGGATTAAGTCGATACAAACAATTATTGGCCTGTAATTAATTCCAAAGTCCATAGTTAAGGAACATATCTAATGGGATGTTCCAAAACACCACAAAATCTTTGCCAGCTCTAATTTTAGAGGAAGCATCTGAATCCAGATGAAAATGGAGCCAAAGTGACATCTAGCGGCCACTCGCCTGCTGACGCTCACTTTCTTTTAATTAGGGTCTGAATCCAACTGGCCAACTTGACGAGAGGAGAGCCCAGTGAATCAATGGGCTTTCCCGTAAGTGTTGCCTCACTGTCCAGCGAATTATCAGTTAATTAGCCAAATTAATAAATTAATCAATGGACCAAGTGACTGGATTTAGGCTCATGCCTTTCCATAATGCACAGCAAAGCACGCCCACAAAACACCACCAAAAAAAAGAAAAGAAAGAAAAAGCCAACAACGCAGGAACACTATATTTATTAAGTCAATAATTAATTTTAGCAATACAATTACAGAATATCACAATGTTGGTTACAAACATACTCGGTATGGTTTGATGGTTACAAAGGATAAAATCGGGCACTGCAGTCCGGTGCGATGTCAGATACAAAAAAAAAAAGCTTGACACAAAAGAGAAGGATGATGGCCGAAGAGTGATCAAGATGCCTTCATATAAATAAGTGTGGCACAAAAGAAAGGGGATTTGGAGTTGAGAACCGCGGGGGAAAGATGCGCTCACTTCGTTTGCTTGCTGTCTTCGTGTCCAGCAACGCTGATGATGTTACAGTGAGTTGATTTATATACATATTTTTAAATCCACTGTTTTTTTTAAAAAGTTCCACGAAGCATTTTGGAGGGGGGGGGACAAACAAATAGTACTGAACTTGGTAATATTCCATAAAAAAATGTGAAAGTTCGTTCACCTCCAAGACATAAGGTTTTTCTCTCTCTTTTTTAAAACTGATTTCTTTAAAATTTTCATGGCAACATTGCTTCCTAGAAAGGAATATACATATATGTAAGGGAAGCTGGGGGGAGAAAGAAGTTACACATAGGATACCTGCAACGGTTAGTGATCCACAGAAAACTTGTGTGCTGTACAGCAAGTTTCTAGATATCTCTATATATTTATATCGTTTATATATATATTTATATATTTTTTCCCCATCTTAAATTTTTTTTAGTGTTTTGAAACAAAATCAGAATGTGCACTTAAAAACAATTCACTAAGGCCTCTCCATGCTAAAAGGTACCTAGAGTTGCAAAGAAAATCATTTGCTAAAGAGAACTTGGAAATGCATACTTTGATATAATCCGATGGGAAGAAGAAAAAAAAGGAAACAGTTTTCACTGCCTTAAAACATTCCTGAGTTTGGGGAGGGGTACGACAAAGCATGACCACCAGATCCATCGGAAAGCAGCCTCCGCAAATGTTCTTTCGTGACATTGATCTCTCCCTCCAACAAACAAGCAAATGTCCTGGAAAAAGAATTCCCCAAAAGGCTAAAGAGGTGCAACAGGCCAAATTGCATCAAAGACTTTGAAAATAACCACATAACGAAAAAAAAAGAACAAGAGACTACGATACAGACTTAATGAACACAAATTTTGCAATTCGTAATAATAGCACTTGATCTGGCAAAGATGGGACGAGGGTGGGTTTGAAGGAAGGCTCGTGGACATGAAGCAAAAGGGATCGAAACCCAAGGGGCTTCTTTGCGAACGGTGAGGGGCTCGGCGACTGGGGCACATCCTGCTACGGCAATTCTTTGCGAACGGTGAGGGGCTCGGCGACCGGGCGGACTGGGGCACATCCTGCTACGGCAGTGGTCCCCAACCTGGGGGAGCCAGATGTTCTCCCTGGACTAGAACCCCCAGAAGCCTTCACCACGAGCTGCACTGGCCGGGGTTTCTGGGAGCTGGAATCCAAGAACGCTAAGGGCCCAACCTTGGGAACCACGGCACAACAGGGCTGGCTTCCATCATCCTCGCTGCCAGGGGCACCACTGTGGATCCCGCAGCCTCTCTGGAGTAGCTCTGTCTCTCCTTGTGATCTGAGATCCTTCTACTACAGGTATTTCTTCTCCCCTGTTCTAAACAGAGAGGGCAGTGGGGACAACCCACGTTTGACACAAAATATGCTTTTGCCACCACACAGTCCAAGCTGTTCAGGGGTAATTTGGTTGCTGTCTTCAAAAACAGATTTTAGGCACAACGCATCAGGTGTCGCAAGAGGTGGGGAGGAGCCCCGGCTAATTCCCTCCTTTCTGCACGGCTCGAAGCTATGTCAACATTGACTTAAGTCAAGCCCAACAGGAACCTGTATCTCCAGCCTGCCAATCCCATTAAGGGATTAAAAGAAGGAAAGAAAAGATTCAACCCTTTTTGGAAAGCCCCGTTCATTTTTCAGTGGGAGAGATCTGGACCATCCCCGTATGGGGTTCGAAGCTCTTAAATCAGATTTTTCTTTAGAATGCAGCCCTGTTTGGGCCAGATTTTCTGCCGAGCCTGCTTCAGGGTTCGCCTTCAACAAACATGTTGAAACGGATGGACTGAGCTGGCAGGAAAACATCCCTTAAAGGGCCGTGTGTCGCCTGGGCAACAGGGCGATTTAAAAGTCCATTTAAACAATTCTGCTCTCCTGCCGTCCCGGTCCACCCCAGCCAGAGTAGGGTTTGAACAAGAAGTACTGCATGCAAGTGAACAAACTCCTAAACTGGAAGATTTTCTCAAGAGCCGTCCATTCATTTGAAACCCGGTTGTTTCACTCCTGTGTAGTGAGTCTTCAGTGGGATGGAAGTTATGGAATGATAATAATATTAATATTAATTAATAATAACCTGTTAGCTCCCTCTCTTCTTATTCATCAACCCTGGTAACCCTCGATGCCTACAATCTGAAAATGTTCATTTTTTAAAAGTTGGGGGGGGAGGAGAAAGTAATCAGTGACTTCCTGTTCTACTTCAAGACAAAAACATGACAAGAAGGCTAAAGGAAAGATGACTTACAAGGAAAGCTGGGGTCCCCAACTATTCAACCATTCACGACCCCAATTAAGAAATGAATCCAATTATTATTTCACAACAATCACATCAGAGAAGCAGCCATCGGAATTGGTTCAAGAAGCTGCAATGCTTAAGCTACCCATCAAGGTTTAATTAGCACGGAACCTTTTAAAAACTCTTCACAATCAAATTACGTGTACGGGAAGCAGGCAAGAAGCCAGAAATCTCAAGAGTGACGAAACAGACTATGGAACTTAATGCCCATGGTTTGTTTAGCGTGACATCCAAGCCCAGTATCATGGCTTGTTTCTCCTACCCATCCAAAGCCAGAGAAATAAACAGAAGGCAAATAAACTCTGGGTTATTTCTTGGTCTAAAGAAGAAGGACCAGCTTGTCTGGTAGGATTTTTTTTTTTTTTTTAGTATCACAGGAAGCAAACCACAAATGCAAGACCTGTCAGCTGGGACCAGCTGCAACTGGTCAGGTACATCTTTACTTTACTTTAATTAGATTTACACCCCGCCCCTCTAGACCAGGTCTACTCGGGGCAGCAATGCTTCCCAGACCAAGGGAAGAGGGTACAGAATTCCGACTTGCCACTGCCTGCAAAACGTGACTGCTGACTGTTTTGCTACCTCTAACATTATTATTTTTAAAAAATTAATTTACTTAAAAAAAATAATTTTAAACAAAATTTATAGAATCAGTTGCACCAAAAGTCTGAGACAGCAACGTCCAGGTGGCCTCAAAGCCAGAATTATTTTTTTCATGCAAAGTTTACACTGGTCCACATATACACATCTATGTTGACGAATCAACCAACCAACCAACCGATCGCAATTCTGTCCATTACAGCAGTGATCCTCAACCTTGGGCCTCCAGATGTTCTTGGACTACAACTCCCAGAAGCCTTCACCACCACTTCTGCTGGCCAGGATTTCTGGGAGTTGAAGTCCAAGAACATCTGGAGGCCCAAGGTTGGGGACCACTGCATTACAGCACGAACTGTACCGGACCTTTCCCTCTATCACAACTTCAGTGGCTGCCAACAGTACTACACTGGGGCACTACAGAACGAATTCTAAAGAGAGGAAACTCAGTAAACATCAATTTTCTGTATTACAGAAGGTAAGTTGTGTTCCTACGTTCTTTGTTGCACTGGAGGCGAGACATAATCCGGGCAATCACCACAATAAGTAACAAACAGAACAGTACGTGGCTGCACACATCTGGACATAGTATGTAAACACTCAAATCTGCACCGGGGAAGTTTCTTTTTTAAAATCACATCAGTTGGGGGGGGGAGGAACATCAGCAACCTTAGGGAACAAGTATCTTGTTATTTATTCCCGAGTAACTCCACTGAGAATAATGAAGCTACACCACTACATTTAATAAGAGGAATTTCTGCTTGACTTATTCCATCCAGGATGGGAATAACACCCTAAATTTCTTTCCTTAGGGAGCCACTGCATGACCAGGTGTAACAACCAGCCCAAATAGCAGCTCATTCTGCTTGCAGGACTGCTCCTGAGCGATCCCAAAAGCACTGGGGTCTTCGTTTCAGTCTGAATGTTTTTAATAGAGCTTTTCTCCTTCTTAGAACAATCGGGGTTTCTTTCTTCCTTAGAACAATCAGTCTCTTAGTTTTTCCCTACAAGGCCATTTAGTCAGCATTATCGTTCCGGGGGTGGGTGTCTTGCTTCCATGATCCCAGGGGTGTGCATCTGGAATGCAACGGGGGCAGTTAACACACACAAAGCAAAACCACCTCATTTAGTGATGGGCAGTAGCAAATAAAAATAAGCTTGTTTATGCCTTTTTTTTAAAAAGGAAGAAAACACCAACCCTCTCGTGAGTCCTTATTATACTCGCAATCATAAAAGATGAGCTGAGGCTACCCCACTGAAAAATTACTCTGAAATCTTGGACAAATTTGCATTTGACTTTCTGACTGGAAGTGGCTTGAAACAGGAAGTCTTGTCTCTTTTTTTAAGGAACCAAAGACAGCCTTTGAATTAATTTAGTCCTGAATGGGTTTTCGGGGGCGAACGTCCATTTTGGGGAACATTTCAGGTTAAAAGCAGCGTTGGTTGAGACGGCCCATGGGGAGAAACATCAAAACAGAAAATAACAAGTATTCTCATCAGTTTTCACATAGACACACTCTGAGCTTGCCCCGTTGCGTATAGGGCATCTTATCCCCCACCTTCACTCCATCTTGGAGGGGAAAACTTCCTTATTGAATTCCAGGAGTACAATCCCTTCCCCAGCTAGAATTCTGACCGATTGATTATACATTAAAAGAAATTAAGCCCGTCGCCTATCTTTTGCAGGCTTTTCGGAGAACCTACCAAAAAAGCACCACGCTGAGAGGTTGCGTCTGACTCCCACAGAGAAGCCAGCTAAAACGTCACCTTCCTGCGCAGCTCCGAAAACTGAGGAAGGTGGCGATTTCTTTGTGACATCTTCCCGAATCCCCCCAGCCGGGACGGCCACTCGGCGGAGAGAATTCTGGAGTTAAAAGAAATGTTAACTTGTCCGTGGTCAGCTTGGGCAACCCGCGAGCCTCTGCCGATTTCTTGTAATACGAAGACCACTTCCAAGGTCAACGTCAAAGTATATATATATATATATATATTTTAAAGGCACTAGTCTGAAAACAAACAAAAGAATCCCTACAAGCTTGCAGTATTCCATGGTAAAGCCAAAACTATTGCTTTAATAAAAGATCAGGAGAAATTACCCATAGCTGTCGGCCAATGACATAAGACGCACACTTATGACAGATTACCTTCTAACCCTGGCACAACCTTCACCAATTAAAACAAGGGAATAACGTCTATTCCGAATATTAGAGAGGCAGGCACCTGCTATCCAGGGCGAGCCCCCTTCCCCGGGCAACATATAAATCCCCCTGAAAATAGGGGGAGGCCATCCCCAAATACATACAGAGACCCTGTCGCTTGGCCCCTGTACTAAGAACTGAGGTAATAATAAGGAAACCCCCCCTCCACTTTCTGATCTAGGTGAGTAGATGCTACGAGAGGTTTCTCAAAACTTCCATTATTACCCCCAGAAGTTAAAAAATTATTTGCTAAAGAAAATTAAAAGGGGGGCAGAAACAACACAAACACACACACACACACACATCCCTCCCCAAATTAAGACAAGCTAGTGAGACAGGCAGAGTTTTCTGTTTTGTTCTTATATATCTGACAGATTCTTTCTTTTCAAAAAAATTTTTTTAAATTAAATATAAAGTGGATTCTGAGCTATGTTTTTTGTTTTTGCTCAACATTTAAAAAAAAAAAACAACTAGGATGGAGAGAGGGGAGGAGATAATGAAAAAGACCAACTTGTGCTAAAAAAAATTTGCTGCAGAGCAAGCTGAGCAGCAAACTATCATCTCCACAAACGAGAACAAAATCAGACCAGATTCTTGACCAACATAAAATACTCTAGTGAGCACAAGCACGTCAGAGCCTTTAGCGAGAGCCTATTTCGAAAGAGGAGGGTCGGAAAAAGGGGAGGCAATTTCCGAGCTTTGCTTATGGCATTAACGTCTAGTTTTACCTGTGCAACCTTAGTATTTTAAAAGACATGCCGTCGGAACAGCCAAAGAACGCCGAAGCTCCTAGCGATGCTGTCTATTACACATACGTAAAGTCTGTTATTACTGGAAATGCATCCTTAATGAAATCTTTCTACTGGATAAACGTGACTCTAGAGAGGGGTCAGAAGGGGAAAACAAAGCCATTGGTCCATGACTCTTTCTAAAATACAAGGCTGGTCCGCTTTGAATTCTCCTGGTGCTGGCACAGGAAAACGGCCGACTTTTACGAAGACAAAAAGAAAAGATAAGAGGGGCTAAGAATAAATAAGCTATCGGTGATCGCTTTCCGGTGAGCACTGGTCCAGTTGAGATGCACGACGGCAGAACGCCAAAGGGCGGTCCCGGTGGCAGCCGAGCGCGGTTCCCAATCCAGTGCTGCTTTTTCTCGGAGTAAATCGTTTGTCACATGTCTCGGTAAGGCAGCATAAGGCAAGAAGTGAGAGTTTTCCCCCCCTTTTGCGAACGTGCGAATATCTGATGGATCTTCTGCTGATCCATTACTGAGTAAAACCACCTTTAAAAAAAACACACGTTGTAAAGCAAGTAAACGAATGACTTCCAACGGTCAGGAATATGTGGCAGCCGATGCCCTGCTTTCACAATGAAGAATGCAACTCTTAAAAATCATTAAAGGGTTTTATTTCTCTCTTTTAACTCTTGCAGAAATCTCCGGTAAAGTGGCTCCTTTTGGACAAAATAAAAATGAAAAATAGAGAAGATCGCTAGGGATGTCTACGTTTTTTTCCTTTTATATATGTGTGTAATAGGTTTATATCTTTTTAAGTTGAAAAAGTGAGCCAAAACGAAAACATGCCGAACTCATGCTGGTAAGGATTTTTTTTTTTTTTTAGCACACATGTTGTCTGTACGGTCACTCCATCAAAAATCAGGATCATCCCCCCCCTGAACAGGGGGATAATTAATTTATGGACTGGACCAGTGTTTCAATGGAAATTTTACAGCCCCTTCCAGGAGGAAAAAAAAATAAACTACATGGTTTCAAATTTCACAGTATGACTTTTCCCATGTAAATTCGGGGAAAACAAAAAAAGAAGAAGAAATAGCCATTGGGAAAGTTGACCATGTTCCTTAGCAAATTTGTCCTTCAACGTTTTGAGACATCAGGAACGACTGGACCACTTCCTCGGTGGACTGAGGGCTGGTGCTGACGTCTTCCAGGGCATCCGTGACCGAAAACTGTCGATCCCGCAACCGGTTCCAGTTGGCCAAAATGTTGTGATATTCAAAGACTTTCTCGTAATTGCCAATCGAGTTGTACAGTTTAATGAGCCCTCGGTAGTCGTATTCTAGTCCGCTGTAGCCTTCCCCAAACAGCTTCTTTCCTAAAATGGGAAAGAGAAATAAGAATGAAGCAAGACTGCTGGCTTTTAAAAATAAAACGGGGTTCGCTGTTATCGCTTTTGTCATCCACCGAGGGGGGCCTTCGGCTGATCTCTCCATGGATAAAGGAGTCCTATTATTATATATTAAAAATGTTCGTGTGTTTTTAAAAAATGATTCTTTTCCCACTCTTTCTTTGGCTTGTCTTATAAGGAGAGAAGGCTACCCTTGTTCGAAGTCCAACCTTTTCCTCCTCCTCAACCAAGGTAAAAAAGGAAGTATAAATAACCTGCCATCCAAACGCAGGAGATGATTCCTTCCCTCCACTCTTTTTAACCACCCTAGCGTGCAGAAGCGGCTCTGGACAACATGAAAGTTTGCAAAGTTCCATTAGATTAAAGCTGATCCTCATAAGGACATTGCTCAACTGTGGATTTTGGAAGTTGTTCTCTTTCTTTAAACACTTTTTCAAATCCTCTTTTCCTGTGCCTTCAGTTCCGCACCACAACCCAAATAACTCCTAAACAGACATGGGATATTCGTAGTCTTATCCCTGAGATGCCAATATTCGCATTCGGATACGAATATCCCGTATCTACTGCTAAATGTTTCTTTACAGCTGTCCACTTTTGCCTTTGCTTCCTCGATGAACTTCGCCTGGGTTGGATCCAACGACCGTCCTAATGTCTCCTCTCGCTACGCACCTCTCCTGGTATCCTTGGAGAGGAGAAGCTATGTAAACAGATGGGAAAACAGAACCATCTCTTCTACTGACTAGTTCCTTTCCTTTCATTTGATGATATTTGGTTTAGGAAATGATCTATTACTTGCTCTGGTCTTCCTTTTGGAAAGGAAACACGACATTAAAATGAATGAATGAAGGGAAAAATTGGATCATACCCACTGTAGGTTCCCTGAAGCAAAAACCAACCCTTCGTGCTTTTTAAATGTGCTTACTTTGTAAAGCACCCTAAATATATTAACCTTAACTTACTATATAAACAACAGTTTATTGGTTTCATCAATGCGATCTAACAGTCGGAGTGTGAGGCTTAAACCCAACTCAGCCACAAACCTCCCTTTGGCTTGATCACATGCTTTCTTGGCTTCATCTTTCTCACACAGTTATTAGGAGGACAAAAATGACCATCAATTCTTTAGAGCAGAGGCAAACCCATTTCAGTGAAAACTGGGGCCAATTTCCACTACCTGTCTAAACCTGATGTCTTAATGCAGGGTAAGAAAAGGGCAGCACTGAGCAGGTTCTTAGAATGTAACCCCCAGCATTCTTGACCACGTTTCTGTTGCCACTACAGGCTGATGGGAGTTGTACTTCAACAAAATCTGGAAATCTCAACTTCGACCACCTTGTTCCAAACATTACAGGTTGGCCTTCCTATCCCCTCCCCTCATAAACAATTAGCACACGCAGGGAAGGGAGCAGACATTATCAAGCCCACTTTTAGTTGTGCATTTCCCAGGATACATTACGACACCCAGCTTCTGTGCTAATGCAAGCCTATGAGTTGACGCACCGATTGCTATGGATCTCAAGTAAAGCTTCTCGGCGTTTTCATACTGATTCATGTCGTAATTGTACAGCGAGGCCAAGTGTCCCACGGAAAGAGCGACTTCGTAATCCTCTTGGCCGAGAAGTTGCTCCTTGATCTGGATCGCTTTGATATGCATTTCCTCCGCTTCCTGAAACACAACCACAATGGGACACCCTCATTATTGCGGCCACTGATTTTTCACATCATGCCCCCAGCATGTGTGTGCAAAAGTGGACAAGGGTTTCTACTCCCACGAGCGTCTAGCCTGCCATTCCTACAGAATGAAAGTTTCAAGACAAAGCTGGGTAGCTAGTCATCCCTCCGTCGGAAAGACGTAAACAAAAGTAGAAAACATCTTATATACAAGAAGCACGTTTCACACGCAAGTCTTCACAGTATTCAACAATGCCACACGAATGCAGAAAAATGTGCTTGAATCCTTATTTATTAGAACAAACTTCCAAGCCTTTATACGAGGGAGCCATGCTACCATTGGGTGTGCGAGTTAGAGAGTAAGATTTCCAAAGACCCTCTTTGCCTCTCGAAGAGATCAACGGCAATGTAACATGGATCGCACTGAAACCAAGTGAAGTACTTTTTTTTTAAAAAAAGAGACTCTGGCCTTTGAAAATGTCAAATGTTAATTCTTGGAAATGAATTAACTCGCTGCTTTTTTCCCTCCGGATTCAAGAATGAATTTTATGCTGCTCCTTTCAAGATACAGCTTCAACAGGGGTTGTGTTGGACTGTATTAATGTCAGCAGCCCCGGACAGGGCGAGGTGCTGAATGCATCAAATAAAGCAACCATCGAATTCTGCAAGAAAACAAGTGCATGTGTGCCTGTCGCTCCTACAGAGGGCGGAATTCTGACTCTTGCTCACCATTTTAAAATGTGCGAGCCTGGCTGAGTTGTTTTTTTTAAAAAAAAAACAACACAAGACAAAACACAATTAATGAATATTCATGGCCCTGAGCTGAGTTGCAGTTACCTTAAACTTCCTCATCGACTGGTACAGCCGGCCTAGGTTGCCGTAGTGTTTCGCCGTCTGCACGTTGAACTCCCCGAAGGCTTTCTTGGCCAGCTGGAGCGAAGACAGGTGCAAATCGTGGGCTTCCTGGAGCAACCGCTGCTCCGTTTCCTTGTTGTGGCAGTCGATGGCGATCTCTTCCAAGATCAGCGCTGGCATGGCAAAAGTGGGTGGGTGGGGGTGGGGGGAGAAAGCCACGTTAACCTAGCCCGTGCATTACAAGTGACCCTATTAAAGAGGAATCTGCAGTACACTAGGACACACACATATCCCCAATCCACGGAGGACTGATTCCAAACTGGAAAATGCAGATTATATCAAATGCTTATTATAATCGCGAACGCCTCTAAGCAGCCAGTTCTGGTAGCGTAATCTATATTTATTTTTGGGATTTTTCCTTTAATATTTTCAGATCGTGGATAAATGAATCAGCAGATAAGGAGTTCCTACTGCACCAAGAGCCCTTCCACTCGACACTTGCTTCTTCGTAACTCAAGACTCTTCTGAAGCTCTATGGCAAGCTCAAATATACCTGCCGTGGAGGCACGGACCCCATTGCCACTGCACAGGGAAGGAAGGGATCCCAGCCCTGCCACTTCCTCCATGACCCTTTCCCCTTATGCCTCCCCTTCCATATTCCCCTGCCCTTGAAATTTCTGACCATGTTTTCGTCATAAGGTCTAGAAACAAAAGCATCCCGTAAAATACCTTTAACTCTTTTGGAGGAAGCGAGGAGAAGATGATCTTCTGGGAGGATGTGGGTGATGATGCCGATGGCACGTTCTGCATGGAATCTGAGACCAAGCAAAACAGGAAGGTGAGGAAAATATACCGCCTCCCTCCCCCTTTCCAGAGTGATTTCGTGGTCAAAGCAAAACAAAGCAAAGACTTAAAAAAAATAACAGGTGTCACATTCATTTTAAAAAAGAGAATTTCCAAAAGTTCTTCTACACATTTCTGTTTATCCATCTTAGCCCAGAGGTGGGAACAAGAAGACGTGGGTCTACCGGTAGCTCTCCAAAAAAAACAACCTGCCGCAGATCTGCGGATGTTTGATTATTTGACCCGTTTGAAGCTTGCCCAATTAATTATCTGACAATAACAAGTAAAAAGCCTCCCCATCACCCCAGCCACAGAGACACTGAATTAGGGAGCAAGAAAAGATTCCTGAGGGGTGTGAGCAAGAAGAGTGGGTTTCTGCACAAAAAGGACTTCCGAGCCCCATTCGAGCGCTGGTTATGGACTCCAGGGGGGAACCCCGGGGTCCTTGATTCGCCGCCTTGATCAACTCACTCTTTTGGACTCTGCTCTGGCCAACAGATCCCAAGGTTGCAAGGACCAGAAAGGCAGATGCTCCAGGAGGAAAACCGGTCGACCTCTGCGTTACTGTACGTGGCGCGGATTTAGGAACACAGGCGAGGGTTTAATACACACCGAGACAACAAAGCAGAGCCCCGGGTTCCAGTGTTTCCATGACAGATCTTGCCCCGCCTGTGGGACTTCTTGGAAAAGGTAGTTTGCTCCTTCTTTTAAACATATATATAAAAGGGGACATTTGTCTGCCAGCTGGTTAGGAAGGGGAGAAGATTCCCCCCCCCCGTGGTGAGTCAAGACCTATTTTCCGCTCCCTCCTGTCCTCTTCGGCATCACCCAATAAAGCTGGCTGGGCTCGAAGTAGACAAAAGGAAGCATAAAACATTAATCCTCGGCAATGACCTCAAGCTACTGAAAAGGGTGATGACACTGGCTGAAATCCAGGAGCAAGACGCGAGTGAGAGGGGAGAAGATTCCCCCCCCCCGTGGTGAGTCAAGACCTATTTTCCGCTCCCTCCTGTCCTCTTCGGCATCACCCAATAAAGCTGGCTGGGCTCGAAGTAGACAAAAGGAAGCATAAAACATTAATCCTCGGCAATGACCTCAAGCTATCGAAAAGGGTGATGACACTGGCTGAAATCCAGGAGCAAGACGCGAGTGGGGCAGGCCCACTGAATCAGTGGGGATTTGCTTCTCTGTCCAGTTCACTCGTGCGATGGGCCTGCTCTAGCGGTGCCTCGCGACTGGATCCCAGCCACTCAGCCGGCAAGGCTTACAACAAAATGTTGCCGTGCGTGCGAGGCTCCTCTGCAGGGTTCTAGCCAGCTAGCTATGCTCTCTTCTCGGTTACGTCACTATTTTGCTCCGTCCTGCTCCTCTCCCGTTAAGCAGTCCACGTCCTTTGCACCCTGAATCAGTTCCCACTGGACTGCTCGCATGGCTCTCCCCCTCGCGAAAGTCTTCCTCGCAATCTTTGTTGGTTTTTCTCCAAACATGGGGGTTCCGCCCCCCAAAAGCCGGCTGATATCGTCCCTCTCGGGAAAACAGCAAAAGACGGGCAAGGCAAGAGCCATTAAGGCACAACAGCCCCAAATCTATCAAATGACTTAATACAGAAAGCAAAGGTCTCGCTGGCAAAAGCTGGGCAGGCTGCAGGCTTCATGTCCTCTCTGACACCTTGGGAAGGCCTTCGCCTGCGCCCTTGCTGGGACAAACGAGGCTGGACGGCTTGGCGTTCAGGCTGGGCAACCAAATCACTTGTTCCACCCACAAAATCCCAGTTTACAATGTGTTTTGTCCGTCCTTAGCAGGCCTTGTTCTGCCAACGGCGGAGAAAACAACGTGGCTGTTGTCATTACATGCAGTCAAGTTATCTTCGACTTACGGCCACCCTAGCACGGTGGTTTCAGTCTCTGGCTGTGGAGCCAGAAGTTGGGAGTTCGATTCCCCCACGGTGCCTCCTGATTCACCATTCCTTTCTGCTGGGGGTGCCCTGGGATTATGCAGCTGGCCCGAGGCCATACAGGCTGTCTCTACACGCGGGAGGGATCAAACTCCCAACCGCTGGCTACACAGCCAGAGACCTAACTTACTAAGCTACCCAATCAATGTTTATAGACCTTCGATTCCCATCTCTACTGGGTTACATTCCGCACAGTGAGATTTTATCTACCGTGGTTAATGATGTATAATTCTGATTTAGGCACTGATAACTGGGATGTCATGGCAGAACTTCAGGGGATTAGCACCGGCTGTCCAAGTGCCTCCAATTCCCGTTTGTCTAACGAAAGAAACAATTAAAACATTTTTCTCTCTCTCTCTACATTAGCTTGTTGAAAGAATGTGGGGTGGGGTAACAGCGAGGAGAAACAGGAGCCAATTTGCATGGAGAAAAGGACTTTGAAATGAGTTCTGGTAGCAATTCCAAATTCCTGGGATAAAGATGTTGTCAAAGGCACCCAGCCGATTCCGTCTTCGTGTGAAGTCCGCCTGCCCGGGTCACTATTTTCTGCCTGGTTCTAAGTGGCAGAGTCCCGGGTGCAGGTTAAGCCCAAACGGATCCCACGGGCCTGATGCCCTGGCCAGTCTGGTCTCAAGAGACGCGGTGCCGCCAGGAGCTGAGAAGGAAAGGCCATCATTTGCTGGTGTCTCGAGCGGGGAGTGGATGGGGCAGAAAGCAGGTCAAGAGAGCTTTCTTTGGCCAACTTACACACCATGGACACCCGTTGCCTTGAGAAGCCCAGGATCGGACGCCCTCTTCCCCACCCACCCCGGTGCCCTGCTTGCCGATCCACCTCATTCCTATGCAACAAGGAACATTTCTGATGCCTCAACGCCACGCAGCATCTGCATCCCACAATCAAGTTACTATACCGAGCGACATTTCTGTGGTTTCAAATCTGCATAATGTATTCCGACGGCCGAGGTCTAGGCCGCCTCGGTTGTGCAACCCTCACTGCCGACGTCCGGCAAACAACTGCCCGCAGTTAACAAAGGGGAGCTATGCTGGTCTCTAGCAAAGAGAGAGAGCCGATTCAGAGGCTTGAGATCCACAGGGAAATGGATAGCGGGAAGCAGCCTGCCCTGGACCGCCACACTTTAGGAGACACAAAAAGACAATATATGCGTATTTTCCTTGTCTCCTGCTATTAAGAAGCCCCCAAATGTAGAAAAGTAGCACTTCAGGAGGTTAAGCCCAGTCTTGCCATGTTAAGATTTCTAAGATCCGTAGGCCTGAAGGGAAACGTTTTGCCAAGACACACTCAAACCATCTTTTGAGTAAGCTGGCTCAAAGCACGACAACCAGATACATAATTTAAAACATGCACAATTTAATGAGCACACAGCGTAAATGAAAAATGGACAGCAACTCAAAAAAAAACCCCAAACTCTCAGGGAAAGACTCTACCACTACAAATCTCTCCACGCTGAGTTCTGAAGTGGTTCAGTCCTTGCAAGACTGCACGGCATGCTTTTTCTGAATTACAGGGAAAGGCGGAAGAGTTTTCCCTGGAACTTTCCCCGTTAAGCGGGTCTGGAACTGGTACGGTCCGAAGAGAACTGTGGCACAGCTTTCGGACACTCCAAATGGCCTCGACAAACTAAAACAGAGAAAACAAAACCCCTTTGGGGTGAAAAGGGAATACACGATACTCACAGCGCATTGTCGAATTTTCCCGAGCTGTACTGGTGCACATAAGAGGAATAAGCCAAGTCTTCATGAGCTGTCGCTACGTGGATATTTTTGCCCCCAAACACCGACTGCCTGATGTCCAGTGCTGTCTGAAATGATTTTGTGCAAAGAACGGGCATCAGTTACGTTGGCGGCATTTTCAGATGTTTCCATAACTACGCTATGCTAAATGTGTGAAGCAGGATGGGGCAGCACACGTTCTCTGCAAGGAGAAAACTAGCACACAAGGGAGAAAAGTTGTCTGGCAGCTCTTTCCCTGTGTTGCAGTTTTTCTACTTGCCAATGACGTTTCAAGAAAATAAAGCATTTTTAAAAAAAGATCATCTCCATTGCCATGAGGATTGAAATGGCAAAGTCTATTCAACCCTCAAGGATCTCATTTCTTACACCTCTGTCTTCAAGGCTTGTTCCACTGGTCTGGATCAGGCCACCTTATCACGTTCTTCCTATATTCTGCAGAAGGTAGTTGCATTTTTGGATGCTGAACCCGAGTCTGGTCTTCACATGTTTATAACAACAATAATATTAATAATAATTTTAGAACTGCACAGCTGGAAGGCACCCTATGGATGCTTTGCATGGGGCCAGCTTCTGCACATCACTGACATTCAAACTGCTTTCTGCGGCAGGAAGTTAGATAAATGTTTGTTTATTTAGTCCTTTCTATACAGATTTTAATTCCTACAGCTCAAAACCATTTGCAGTTTTGCCACGTTAAAACCCATTTTCAAAAAATCAAATGGGGATAAAACAGCCAAGTAGTCAATAAAAATAACCAGGAGTAAATGACTTTTCCGGTGATCAGAATACCCGGGCACTCAAATAAGTTCTCTAATGTGGGTAAAAACACCCTGGAGTGAGCGGCTGCCTGATTTCAAGAGGGAGACTATTACACCGGGAGAGGGTAAGAAGGACCTATTAATAATATAATATTAACTTGCAATAACGAATCATTATGATTTCAACATGCAGACCCCCCTACAGCATTCCAGACAGAAACCCAGACCCATACCTGATAAATTGCAACGGACTGGCATATATTGTCTACGTTGAGTAAATAAAACCCATAGTCTAATAGTGTGTCTGAATATTTAGGGTGTTTGGCTCCAAAATGCTCCCTAGAAGATAAAAAAAAAATTATACACACACACTTATACCATAGTCAGAGGTACAGAATATAGAAGGAAAAGCATGCAAAGAGTATTTAGATAAAAGGTTTACTCACCGGGCTAGGTAGACAGCATGTTTTATCAACTGTTCTGCTTTTTTAAATTCACGTTTGACCACACAAGCCTAAACCAGGAGGAAAAGAACGCAGGCATGAGAGATGGTGAACATCCCTTCACAGCTAACGGTGGGCACGATCCAGAACCACCGCCACCTTGAAAGGCGCTTTGGGGAGAAATAGGGGCTGGTCAGAGACAACGGGGAGGGAGTGTCAGGGAAAGCCCATAGGGCGACAGCCCTCAAATGATTCTAAAAAATGTATAAGCCTTGTGCAATGTGTGGAAAATCTCAGCGATCTGTGAGCGCTGTGATGCGGCTCAAATGAAGCAGGTCTCAGCTACCCATGCCTCCCAATTGTGCTTTCGGTGGCTGAGAAATCGCGTATCGCCTGAATCCAGAGGCAAAGATTTCCGTCCTGGATGCTCTTCCCTCGCTTTAATTCAAGCTTGAGAAGAACACAGTTCTTTCCCGCCTCTCTCTAACTTTGTTCAGTGGCTGGACAGTGGCTATCCAGTGGTTTAAGGACCTCGCTAGCAGCTGGGGGAGTGTGACATGTCCTGGACATCCTGGGGTGAGGAGGGAGATCTTGCTTTGTCTGTTCCATTCCAATCAGACCAGCAAACTGGCTAAAAAGGTGAAGCCTTTTGGTGGGGGAGGAAGTGGCTCGCAGCCAACATTCCCTCTAAGCTGTGCAGCGCTGCATCGGGACCGCACAGCCGAGCCATTTGCTTCCGGTTGTTGCCGTAAGCCAGCGCGCACGGGGCGGGGGCCCCTGCCCGGTGCTCTGGAAAACTAGAGGGCCCTCACAATCACAGAACCAAGATGGCAGCAGAACTGGTGGTAGTGGAGAATGACAGATAGAAAAAGGATTTGTTGTAACCAATCCCCCTGCGCCTCCACTCATCCAAAACGGGAAACGGTGCCCAGCCCTGCTCTACCGCGTACAGGTATATCTGCAGAAGGGTTAGAGTCACCTTTGAAGCTTGCCGCAAAACATCCACGACTACTTTTACGGGCAAACCCACCGTGATCTCCTTCATGGCTTCTATGCACCATTTGTAAGCCTGCGGAACAGAGAAGAACATGGTTGATCCCATTTTCGGTACCTAAACTTTAAGGGACACACGGAGGTTAAGAAACAAACCAAACCGAAAACTGGTCCCTAATTAGCCATTATTAAACTTTTAGAAAAACAACAACATACAGACACGTCGATCGACGATCAGACCACCTTCAAGCATCAAAAAGGAAGGTTTTATACAGCACACTTATGCAACCTAGAATGTTATGCAACCTCAAAGAAAAGTGGGAAAGTGGCAAGAAACAAACAACCCCCTCCCCCCCAAAAAATCATCCTCCTCCATGGAGGCGACCCCCTCCCCTCCAGCATGTTCTGAGCAAGTCTCCCCGCCCAGCCATGAAGGGGAATGCCAAACAGTGCTGAAATAGCAGTGGTGTTGCTGGCATGAGCCTTATCTGTTGAACTCTGGCCTTCTGGCTAAAGAGAGCTGGCCCTTAAGCCATCACTCTGCAGGGGATTATGGAAACCTCGCCCAGTCCCCGAAAACTTGGCTTTCGAACTCTGAACGCTGAGGAAAGGCTGCTGTAACCTGGGCATCGGAGTGTCACTCTTGCGGGGCTCAGCCGAGGAGGGTGTGTTGAAATCAGATGAAGAACAGCATGTTCCGACAGCAATACCTCCTGGCAAACTTGGAGGTGTGTGTGTGTGTGTGAGAACCTTGCCGGAGAACTCCAGGAAACAGCAAGCATGAGAGTACACAGTGGAGGGCATGAACTCTACCTAAGTTCTTAGCTGCGTCTCGCCACGGCCGAGAAACGCTTCCGTTCCTGCAAACTCTGGCCTTCGAATCCAGGCAAAACCCTAATTTTGGACTGGTTTCATTTCAGGGTGCATTTGATCTAGAAGATGAAATCCATTTTTGAAAAACCCCATTTTTAAAGCATACATTGTGATTTAAAATCACCACTTAAATTATTAAAAATGGGATATATATGTTTTATTTCAATAGTCCAGTATATATATATATATATATATTGGACTACTGAAATTTTATAGATAGATAGATAGATAGATATTGGACTATTGAAATAAAAAAATCACAATTTAAATCAATGTTGTTGTTTTAAATAAACTATTGAGTTTTATCCACCCTTTTTTTTATTTGGCAGTGTTTAGTAAGTTAAGATACTGTTGCTACATCTCAGTGAGATACCCTTTTGTCTGCCCAGATGTTGCTTCCAAGTTAACCCTCAGGACCTATTCGTCTTCCTGGGGGGGGGAAATACCTCACCGGCAGGAACAGATTTTAGGTTGATTTTGGGTCTGAAGCCCAACAGAACAAGCTCACCTCATCATAATGGCTCTTGGCGAAGAGCAGAGCGCAGAGTTCTCCGTACAGGGCCGCTTTGTTAGCCTGCTGGCCGTGCTTGGCCAGCTTGTCCATGTAAGACTGTGCCAGTTTGAAGGTCTCCTCTCCCAAATGGTATTTACAGTTGCCGTTCCGCACGTGCAGCAACCTACGAAGGACATGGACAACCTTGAAACCCCGTTGGGTCACCTCCTGCTTATGGAATACTTCTCCATGGGATAATTAAAACAGCATTACAGGTCTGCGATCTTGGATTCCACCCCGCAAAAATACAAAACCAACAAGCAAACAGAGACCCCCAGAACCCAAAAAAGGTAGAGAAGTTGAGTTCTTTCACCCCAGCCTTAAGCTCTTTTAAGCAATCTTTGAAAAAAACCTATGCTCACACACCGGAAGCAGGACACAATAAACCTTCTTATCTACAGACCTGAGATGGTTCAATAAATCAGTGAGAGATCCATCCATATACTTCTCTTCCCCTCTCTGAGATGCTTTAATGCAAAATTCTGGGTTTGACTTTTTAATACAAATTTCTGCAACCCTTCCAAATAACAACTCTGCAGCTCATTATTAATGTTTTTAATTGCACAGATAACTAGGACAGGAATAGGGTTTGGAGCTTTTTCTTCCCCTTAAATCAGGAAGGTTTTCTTTTAAAGGGCAGCATACAGCACTTCGGGTCAAGACAGTTACGCAGTGCAAGGGACTGCAAGAAACCGCAGCTAAAGCCAACGTCAGCACAATCTAAGGGCCAACACGTCCGCGGTGGAGAGGGACTGGAGAAGGCCCTGGCTCTCACGAGACAGAGAGAGAAGGTCACCTCGTTTGCACATCATCAGCACAGGGCAAAGTCTGGCGAACACCACAGCCCGGCTCCTGAACGCGCACCCCCTACCTCCTGACCCCTGAAATTCAGAGTATATGCAGAAAGAAGAAGAAGGGGGGGGGAGCCCTTGGCAGGCAAGAGAAAAACAGGTTGCAAAACACAGAGGTGTTGTGGATTTTCGATAGGGTTACTCTTGTGCAGCCACAAGCATGGGATTGCACAGAGACAGTGAAGAACACTTATGCATGCCCTACCAGGAACTTTTTCCCATACTTGAATCACTAACACCGTCTCAACACCCTCGTTGGCCACTCGCTTTTACAAGGGAGTCAGCCTGGGGAGGAGGCAGAGCCAGTCATGAATCCGTCCCATCCCCCCCCGCTTCTTCTCCCCATTCGGGAGTGTAAACACATCCCAATCCCAGGGCTATCACATGACTCTGGAGGGGTCCGTTCATTAGTTCTTAGTGAGTAAAACTGGGCTATGTGATCTCCATTCCAACAGGCGTCTTCAGCGTGGTCAAGTTGGAACCAACTTATAGGAACCCAAACAGGGCATTCAAAGTGAGACAGAGTCCTGGCCTGTAACTCTACCGTTACACCACACGGAGGATCTCTACGTCCCCCCCATATACTTAACGCATTTAGCAAAAATAGATTTAAAAGAGCCACACGTCATGACAACAAGTAAAAGTACTTTGGGGTGCGTAGACTAGTAACATGTCAAAAACTCAGGTCAAGAACCACCGAGAACCAGCTGGGTCCATAGTGGCATGCTATCTATACTATCCACAACTTGATAATTCTTTTGTACGAATCCGGGCCGGCTTGGCAGCGGCGCGCTTACCTGACGCAACACTCGACGGCGCGAAACCAGTGGAGCATCTCATCGTGGAGCGTGCACAACTGGAGGCAGGAAAGGAAGACTTTCTCGGCGTCGCTATACCACCCGGCGTCCGAGAGGAACCCTCCTGCAAAGCAGACGGGGACCGAGGGTTTAAAAAAAAAGGGGTGGGGAGCTTTTACAGGAAAGGGGGTGGGGGCTTGCATCTCAAAATGAAATCTCTTTATTTAGATTTTTTTTTCTCTGGCCTTCCACACTCTCACAGGAAGAGTCTGTTGGGAACTCCTTCTGGGGTACGAGTCACAATCTGCCCTGGGCAGGACTCTGAACACGCTGATGTGAAAAGCGGGACAAAAGGTACAACAAGGACCTTACGTCACCTAAAAACACAGGACGTTGCCTTACACTGAGTCAGCCTAGTATTATTAGCTCAGAGCAACACCCGGAGCTCTCCAGGGTTTAAGGCAGGCGTCTTTCCCAGCTCCATCCGGAGAGGCTAAGGATTTGATCCAAGACCTTCTGCTTGTCCGAACAGATTTGAAAGGGATGGCCAGAAGGCACAGCCCACTGAGCCAGAGTCTGGACTTTTTGCAGTTCGAAGCTCCTTCACAAGACCTTTCAAGGCCACCGGAGACACTGGGGAACGGTGAGTACAAGTGCCATGTTAAGAAACACTCGGTGCACAGAACTCAAGGCAGAGAGGTGCAATGGTCAGAGGCCCGAAGCAGAGGCGCTCCGGTGCAAAGCCTGATTTTGCAACCCAACCCTCCAGGCGAGCTTTCGCTAGTCAGACACACACAGACACAACTAGCCTGCCCTCCGTCACAGGGATGCTGAGACTCTCAAGTGAGGAAGACTTCCTGGAGGCCCACCTTAAAAAGTTGGCACATGAGCAGCGTAAACAGCAAGTGACCAATGCATGGAGTGACTCAGCACAGTGACTGAGAGGAAGTCCCTAATTTTGCTTGTTTATTACATTATTTTTTTCATTCCACACCTTTCCCTGAAGATACTCAGAGCAATTTAATATAATTCCGCTCTCTCTCCTCTGATGTTGACGACAGCCCTGCGAGACAAGCTAGATGGTGACGGCCCTGCTTGCTGTCCCAGAGTCACAAGGTAAGGCAGGGTTTGGAGCTGAAAACCAAATACCCCAAAACTGCTCTCTCGCTCTCTCATTTTAGGCAGACTCTTAAAGTAGGCAACCTTCCCTCTGCCTCTTGTTCCCTCCACACTGTTCTGTTATTTTTCACATATCTATCACAAAGGGTTGAATAAGCGAGCCAGCATTCATTTCCCAGTTTCATCATCATCATCTCAGAACTGAGAGCTGGAAGGAAACCCAATGGATCGCCCGCACGTTACCTAAGACAAAGCCAATCTGGATCGCCTTTTCCTTTACGGCGGCGTCGGACTCCGCGATGTAGGAGCACCTCCGGCTGAACGAGTAGGCCAAGACGGAGGCTACCTTCACGCCATGATCCATCAGCGCTTGAAAACAGTGGTGAAGCAGGTGCCTGGAAGAAGCAAAAGAAGAAGCAGCAAGAAGAGGGTAAAGGCTTTTCCCCCACCTCGATCAGGAGCACGAAGCCACACAGAGGACTGAACGTCTCTGACTGGCCACACTCTGCTCGATCCAAGCGGGGGGGGGCTTACGTCAGGGTCAGAATCATGCGCACAAGGAGAAACGTGGCTCTGGAAGCAGGCCTCCGAACACACACGCAAAAGAAAAAGGTGGGCACCCCCCCCAGCAAAACCTCAGTGCATCAGGAGACAGGATTCTCTGCAAAACAAGCAAAGATACCCCCCATCCTCTCTCTCCCTCTTTCTCTTTTTTTAATTAAAGGTGATTTTTATTTGTGTGTGTGTGTGTACATATATGCGTGCCTGGTATATGCACGCCTGCCCAGCCACAGCTGTTACGTTTCACACTAGGAGAGAAGATTCATGCACTGTCCTTCTTGACAGGTCAAAATGCCCAAAAACTAGCGCAAAAAAAAAAAAAAAGCCCACAATTTCCACGAAAATCCCAACACAGCCTCCAGCCTAGATTTACAAAACAGGAAGCAATTCATCATTCGGAATGCAACACGAGGACAGCATTAGCTGTGCAGCAGGGTGCCAACGACACAGAAACAAGGAGCTCTTGAAATCAAACAAACTGCACACATATACACACCGCCTACTCCCCCATCTCTCCCATGCAAAAGTAGCTGGAAGAGCCATGTGATGGCCATTATTTAGCAGGCTCGGAACAAGAGCATTCCTGCCCTCCCCCTTGCAAGGCCAATCCTGCCTGAAACACTCAAGCCTGCTGTCAAATATGCTGACCTAGAGGGAATCTACTACGGTTAACCTCTTGTTGCTAGAAGACAGGGTTCCAAAAATTTTAGCTGCTTTGCTAGAACAGGACGTTCGTGTGCAAAGGCACTGATGTGCTGAGTTGCCTCTCATAGGCCGAGATCCTGTTGGGTAGAGCCTGTCTGCGTAACGGGAACGCCACCACTGGCAGAGGCAGACAGCGGCTGATTCAAAGCTTCCTTTTGTGATTTCAGGCCGCACGCAGCGTTGCCACGTTGAGAACCCTGAAGTCACAAAAGGAAGCCTTGATTCAGCCAGTGATCTGCCACTGCCAACAATGTCACTCTTCTTGCACAGGCGGAGCTACGCAACAGGATTTCAGACCACTATTTCATTCCTGGACACTCCCCCTAAGGAGTAACATTATTTTAAACTCAGCTGTTTCTTTCATGTGGATTTTTTAAAAAACTCTACTTGCATTCAAGTTTCTTGTTTAAAAAAAAACAGGAAGCCCATGCATTTCAGAAACACAGTATTGTACCAAAACAAAGCAAGCCAAAATATTGGACAATTAAAAAAAAACTACAATAACGTTTGAACTGAAGTTGATTCTTGGGGGGGGGGTCACAATTTTAGTAATAAACAAAATAGAATGTGCCGAAATACAAAACCAATTGAATTAAACAATATTATGGCACAAACATTTTAAGAAAGGAGTAACAGAACACAATACAGTACTAGTAAAAATTATTTTACACACAGAGGGAGAGAAAGAGAGAGAGAGAGAGAGCCAACAAACAAACAAAGATTTCTAAATTCCTGTTTCATAAACCATTTACTTTTCCCATGTCATTTTAAACTAAACACGAGGTACCCCAGGTACCTTTCATACCAATATGGAAGGTACCTGGGTTAAATTGTAACTCATCAGGGAACCCCAATAACAGTTCTCTTTTTTGAATTGAACAAGACTTTTATGAGGACATGCTAACTCACACAAAACCAAATTAAAAAACATAATCTTCACACCACAACTATAATTTAAGAGGTACTTCTTGCAAAACGGTGGATGTGATTCACCCAAAGCTATCTACTAAAAAACACGCTGATTCTGATACAGAACGAAGAGCGTGCTCGGGTATTCCCAGTGTAAGCACTGATGTTTTAAAGAGTGCTCAGCGACAGCTGGACAGAGGACAAATGTTTAGGGGGAAAAAGAGCCCCTCCAAAGTAAAAAATAAATAAAATAAAATCATTTTCAGCTTGGAATTACCTTTTATCCAAAGCTCGGAGCACCTTTGCAAAAACTTCTAGTTCACAAAATTCACTACCCAGTTGACACAGCCGGCCTTGTTGGTAAAGCTGCGGGAAGAGAAGGGGGGTGGGAAAGAAAAAGAAAAACAGAAGACCAGAGTTAATGACTTTTACAAAGTGAAAAATAAGCACAAATGCGAACCCCTATGGATGGCACACAATTTGCTCCCACTCAGGGTGCGGCTGCCCTTCTAAGTCACAAATACCATTTTGTGCATGAACCACACTGGAAAGTACAATGCAGAATTTTAGCAACCTACAGATGTATGTGTACGTCTCGCCCATTTTTTTTTCTGGCGAGACAAAAAAGAGCTGTCCAGAACGTACAGCGCTACCCGCTGGATGCAGTGAGCTGAGTATTTTTCCCACAGGATGCAAGAATGGGTGGCCGAAGCTGCATTACAAGACAGATGCACTATATGGAGATTTTGGAGACAGGTTCGCGTCTCCTTTTAGAAATGTCGTACGCTCTTTCGCAGAATCGCGGAATACTTGAGTTGGAAGGGGCCTCTATGGCCATCAAACCCAACCCCTCCCCCTGTATAATGTGGGAATCCAAACAAAAGCAGATCTGACAGATGGCTGTCCCATTTTCTCTTGAGAGCCTCTAGTGAGACAGAGGGCTGTCCCATTTTCTCTTGAGCGCCTCTAGCGTTGGGAGGGCTCACCACTGCCCAAGGTAATGAATGGGTCCCATTGTCGTACTACTCTTAACAGTTCAGACGTTTTTCCTGATACTCAGCCTAAATCTTCATTCCTGTAGCTTGGGGCCATTATTAAATGCCCTGCGCTCTGTGCTGATCAAGAGCAGACGGGCCATTATTAAATGCCCTGCGCTCTGTGTTGATCAAGAGCAGACCCTGCGCCTCCTCTGTATAATAACCTTTCAATAATTCGAAAAGTGCAATACTCTCTCCCCTCGGTCTTCTTTTCTCACAGTCAAACCTGCCCAGTTCTTCCAGTCTTTCCTCCTAAGGCTTCGTTTCCAGTCCCCCTGATCATCATCCCCTCCTAGGGCTTGGTTTCCAGTCCCTGATCATCATTTCAAACCCGAGCCCCTATTAAAAGCAAGCTTTCCCCCCTTGAAACAAGGGGGAGGGGTGAGTCTGAATCACGTCTGAATCACTGGGGGGGGGGAACTGAGTCCAGTCCGAGTTGAGTCACTGGTTCGACTTAAATCTTGACCTGCTGCCTTAGAAATGCTTATCCCTCTCTCACACTACTAGCACAGACAATAAGAAGGCAAGGGTTGTGTGTGGGCGCAGATCATTTTCATCATGGGAAGATCAGAAGGGAAAACACTGGCTACTTAAAACAGCCCAAGGACCCTTCCAAAGAGGTTGGACTGACCCTCCCAGCAGTCAACACCAGCGGAGACATGGATCAAGGCGGAAGGAAGGCGCTGTCCAGCCACCACGTACCGGGAGGACCTCAAGCTGCCAAAAAATTGACTTCTTGGACTACAAGTTCCAGCATCCCCCGGTCAGCATGGTCAATGAGAATTATTCAGGAAGACTAGGAGAATATGCACCTATAGAGGCAGCTACTTCTGACAAGCAGATGATGGGGGGGGGGGGAAGGAAACAGCCAGGCACCAGGGAAAAATAAGGTTTAGCAAAGGAATTTTCAAGTTCTCAAAATTGCTTAAGTGAAAACTATAGGATCTCTTTGCTTTTACCTTTCTTCCTTTGCAAAGAATGTTTCTTCCTTAAAAGGGAGAAGGAGGAACTCAGAAATCATTTTTATTGTGCTCCACCCACCCCCATTTGTAACACCCATGTAAACCATTGGGCTTCAAAAGTGCCGTTCTCCTTGAATTGGCAAGCAAAGTGCATTTCTTCCACCATTTTTTAAAAAAAAATAGAGCATAAGCCAACAAAAATGTGTTTACTACCTCGTATGTTTCCCTTCAGTGAAACAGTGTACTGTTGTAAGGGAAACAGAACTATGAAGACCTTATTAGAAAATGCACTCCTGTCAAAAATGTCTATATGTCTATACTAGGCAATGCTTAAAAAGAGAGAGGGCAGGAGGGAGGACTGTACACATGTGTGTGTATGCACACACACATACAGGCAGGCAGATCGATAAAAAATGGCTTGCTTTTTGTTATCACAGGAAGATTTCTTATAAAACCTCTATTTGATAGATCAATTGTCTATTTCAAGTTATTTTGCGTGTTTTTGGGTGGGCTATCTACACTGATTAGCTATGTTCTCCAAAGTTTCCAAACTTCACCAGAAGAAATCAAGGATTATAAACCCACCACTGACTGGCTGCCTGAGAGAGGGTTTTTTTGATGGATGGTTGTGCCTTACTCGTTTATCACCTTTTAGTGTGGCATTTGTTTCATCCTTTTTAGTATTTCTATACCTACTTTTTTTTAGCTTTAAACCTCGTCTTAATGATGCACTTTTTTTTTTTAATGAATGGTTGTGCCTTACTTGTTTTGGTGGTAGTTTTTCTTTATCACCTTCTAGTGTGGCATTTGTTTCATCCTTTTTAGTATTTGTATACCTACTGTTTTTTTAGCTTTAAACATTGTCTTAATGATGCAAACCGCCTTGGGTCCTTCTTAAGGAGAAAGGGTGGGTAAAAATACTTTCAATAAATCCAAATAAATAAATAAACCATTTGTACATATGCTACGAACTCTGCTGCTAAGCTAGGGATGGTCTCATCAAACAGTCTGCAAACTTGTTTGCCTCATGGCCTGAAGGCAGTTCTTACTCGCCACAGGTGAGTCGAGAGTCTGACTCTGTAACTAGTTGAAAACTCATTGGCTTGGCCTCGACACCAGGGCAGCCTACGCTTCTCCCTAACTAGGGTCTGAAAGTAGAAGACGTGGTTTGAGCTTCCAAATCGACAGAAAGGAATCCCCGTGCGCTAATTCGGCATCTCCCTACTCACTGCACCAGGATCCTCTTGCAGTGGCTCCTAGAGGAAATGAAACCACTCTAACTACAGGATGTAGATTCAGCAGGGATCACAACATACCCTGTTTAATATTAATCATGGTTTCCAAAAGCTCCTTCGGACCACTGTCTTAGATTCTGGTTTCGTAGCCAAGTGCAAGCTGCAGTTTGTCAGTTCAGACACACACCCAAGCAGAGCCCTTCAGCCATAAATTCACAGCAATATCAAAAGGGAATCATGTTCTATATGGGGCCATTGTTTCTATGCATGAATGGGCAATGCCATTTCACTTCAAGGGAGGGGGAGGGCGCTCTGGGCTTTTGATTTCACTTGCCACCATGGCAATCTGGTCCTCAGGACCCGAATACCTTCCGGGTTGCCACATCGAAGGCCTCGAAGCCGGCCAAATCCAAAATCCAGCCAATCACGTTTCGTAATTAACGAAGCTCAAAGCAGGATCCTTGAATTCTTATGCCCAACATAAAACTCCGGGAAATCTTTAATACTTTACTTTTACAGCAACTGCAGCGACAGGACATCTTTAACATGCTTTTCCATAATGGGGAAACAATGCTTGTCAATTTGTTGATTAGCGGTGCTTCGTAAGTACCCTATTGCCTAATTAAAGATCCCTGGAGAAGAGGGAACCTTGGATGAAGACTGCCAACCTGATTGTCTTGCAGCCAAACAGAGAAGGAGGGTCATTCCCAGGGGGGCAGTTGAACTCAAAGAAAGTTTGAGAACTTGTTTACTTAAATGCAGTTTTTCGGTCCATCTTCCCCACCCACCAAAGTCTCCCCTTACCGGCCCCTCCAGGGATAAGAGAAAATAGAACAAACCCAAGGAGAGCTTCGCTGCTTGCGGATTTGTCGGAATAATGTGTTTTAAGGGGCCAAGTTTACCCAGTGAATTTTGTGCGGACAGGAGCCGGGACCTTCCAAGACTCCGTTTGACACTCCTGTTCAGTGATTCCTGTTCAACGGTTCCCACTTGATGTCCTTGGACTACAACTCCCAGAAATCCTGGCCAGAACAGCTCGTGGTGAAGGTCTTTAGGAGTTTTAGTCCAGGAAGATCTAGAGACTCAAGATGATGTCCTTGGACTACAACTCCCAGAAATCCTGGCCAAAACAGCTCGTGGTGAAGGTCTTTGGGAGTTTTAGTCCAGGAAGATCTGGAGACTCAAGATTTGGAACTACTGCTCTAGTCAAAGCTAAGAATTTAAGGTTACAATCCTATGATTATATATTTTAGAGTTAACTACCAATAAATTTAATGGCTCGGTGTAGCCATAGATGTTCTTTATATCCTAAATTCTGTTTACTCCCTTGAAAGGTTTCCTTTAGAATGCTGTGGACCTTGTCGCATGCACACTGGCATTAATCCTGATCAATAGCTCTACAGGACAGACATGCAACCTCTGCTGACAAATCCTCTTCCAATTGTGGGTTCAAATGATAGTAGAAAGAAGGTAACTCTGGTTAGTACAGATTAAACGTGCCGTACATATGCATGACGCATTCCAGAGCTAAAGCAAACCATGGGAAAAGAAGGATAATTTCTTAAGCATGAAAGAGGAAATGAACATGAGATGCTACTTCTTCACTCCCAATACAACTGGATGGATAGCAGATAATTTCTTAAGCATGAAAGAGGAAATGGACACAAGATACTGCTCCTTCTCTCCCAACACACTGAGATGAACTGGATGGATCGCACCCAAGAAGCAGAAGTCATCACAAGGAAATGTAACTAGAAGGCTAGCATTATTTTTACTAGAAATGTTGCAAGAAGCACTCCATACATTTACAGGTTATTTATCACACAGAGCCTGGTTTGGTTGTTTATTCAGCAGGTCCAATGACTCTGTTTGTTAAACAAAAGACACACACAAAAGGTCTAGGTGAGCAAATTTGTATCCAACAAGAAGGCAGCTTGGGTTTCCAACAACCTTATTAGGAAGCCTGGCACCATGTTACATAGATACTAAATTATTTCCCTTAAACACACCAAAAATGCATTTTAAAATCTCCATGTCTCTCTGAATTGCCCCAATGACCACCACAAAATGGTGTTCTTTTAAATTGCTAAAGTTCCTCTGGCTGTAAAAAGCAAACTGAAGGACCAGCATGA